AAATATACAGTATCTCAGTATGGTATGTTATTGATAAAGCAGCAAATGCCAATGTTTGATAAAATTTTTGATTTTTAACAAACCTGGTTTTGCATTATTGTAACTAAAGTATACTTGTTTCTCAATAGGAGCAAATGACAGGCTCAAATGGATGTGATGCAAACAGTTCCATCTGTGTGGACATGATAAAATGGACATGTCCAATCCATGGTTAGCAAAAGGTGGCGATGCTCAGAGCTCTGCAGCAAGTGATTGAGCCCAAAATATTTCAAAAGAATTAAATTAAAATGATTTATCTAGTGATTTTTTTTCTGAAGTTTTTGTATTTTGTGCATCTGGTTTATATTGCAGCATCTGGTTTATATTGCATGCCAAATTTATAATAAATAAATAAATACTGTACCAGTATTACTGTACTTGTTTCATTTGCAAAATATAATATTATAAAATAATAATAGTGTAGTTTTATATAGCGCACAAATCCATCTAATGTAAGATGCTCAGGGTGCTTGAAATGTGGACTAGGAACTCGATCAATGACTTTCTTTGCCCCTAAGGGTCCCTTCGTGTCTGTGCTACCCGGTAACCCGGTACAAGCAACTATCGCCGTCCACCACCAAAATGGTATAATCCCATTCAATAGTAATCCTTCTGAAGCAAATATGTGACCCAGATTTAGAAAACAAATTGTGAGGATTAATTTTGAAATATGTAATGTGCGAAGTTGATAGTACAATATGAAAATGTGGCTCAATATATACAGGAACAACTATTTTAATGTATGGCTTTGTACAGTCTTTTGTAAAGTTATTCTATGAAACTGCTTATTTTTTAATGCCTGGACTTTTGATGCATGCTGATCAATTTGGTATTAGAATTTAAGAGAAAGCTTTTTTTTTTGCTGCACACCATTTTTTGTTTAGAATTTAAAAATATATAGTTGAACTTGCCTATGTCATATCCAAAATGCCATTGAGAAATTGTTCGACCCTAACAAAATTTGACTTTCACTTGCGGTAATGGAAAACACAACAATTTGGCATGTATTATTAGTCGTCTTAGGCAAGTTTAATTGCACTGCTCTGTTTATCATGTCTGATTGTCTTGTATTATTTACCATAGCCAAAATTTCTTCTTTCATGATGATATTCAACATCCATATTTTTGGTGCTTCACTTAGTTATTGTTGTACATACAGTAAATTCAAGACTACTGGTGTTAATAAATAAATATTTTTTATATATTATTACAATATATATCACTGCATTTTACACACTATTTATTATCAAAATATTAAATATATGGATTTATAGTTACTGTAGTTTATACCAATGTAAAGAATAGGGACGAACAAGTTACATTTATATACTGTATTAGCTTAAAATTTTAAAATATGAGGCGAGAGTGGGGAAGATACAAAAAACATTGTACTGTACTTAACAACAAAATGTTCTTGAAATCAACTTTGCTGGCCTATCCGCATCAATAACAATAATTTCAATTACAGACTAGGTCTGGAAGGTTACACACAATTGACTGGTCCAGATATACAAAAGCTCTAGGCCTATGCTGACAAAATTTCCTTTCATGAGTGATGAGATTGTCAAAAAAACAGAGCACAGTTTTCACATGAATTGTCAAGAATGAATCTATTACATAAGATGTGTTGCATTAATGAGGATGGACTTAACAGGTCCATCTTCCATAACAATTTATAAATAATTCTTCCAACACAAATTTTATTTCATCATCTTCTATAGCATCAAAAAACCCAGGGCAGTCTTCAAAGCTTCTGGGAACTTGTCCCTAATCGCCCACACAGTGCAAGATGGGATGACCCTTCTGTCAGATTTCTTTAGCCTGTTAAACACCTACCAAATGAAAGCCATCGATATTCAACGTGTCGGCATTTCCTGTAAGAAGAGAAGTACAATAAAAAGTTTGAACAGACTAGTAAAAAAAAATCAGAGTGACACTTCTTACACCATTCAAAAACAATTAGTATTTATATTACAATATTTATAAGGAATTAATCATTCTGGCACTAATCATCAATGATAATTTTTGTTGAAAATATATACAGGTATTAACCATCACTGTGAAATGCCCATATTCAAATGCATTGCAAAGTGGTGTAACATAACCGCGACCTAATTATTTTGAATAGAATTTATTACTTCATTAATATAATAGTTTTTTGTAATATAAAAGTAAAGATTAGTTTAAAAATTACAAATGAAGAAAAATAATAGACTACCTTGTTCCTCAATCTTTTCTAATGTACAGTAATAATAATGCCCCTGTATTTTGACCACCAAAATGGCTGGACATTTGACCCTCTACTAGTTTTTGATCCAGCATGGAACCAACAGGGCCATGCCTAAGGCAGGTGATTGTATTACCGAGCAGAATGCCGAAAATTAATCTTTGAACTAATCTGGAAACTGTATATAACCATTGTCAATGTATCATGCAGAAGTTAAGTTCTGTGCACATTTTTCCAAGCCATTTTCCGCGCAAATTTGAGCTAGTTTTCAAGGTATCATCTGTGACCTCCAAGTCACAAATTATACAGCAAGGCACATTAACAGAAACTCACAACGCGTAAACACCGACTTGTGTCAAACGGTTTTAACTGAAATTTAATAACAAAAAAGACCCAGAATTAACATTTGGAATATCCAATTATTCCAACAACATATATATGTAATTGAATGACCTATATTACTCACTCCTAATAAAACATTGGCATATAACACAAATCCACATAAAAACAAGTTATTCATGTACCCTTCAACAGTTTTGGCTATTATAGTTATCAACAGTGTTCTGAGACTGCGCACTTACGGTGCCTACTCAAGCAGAACGGGCATGTTCAGACATAACATGAAGCATGGTCTCATCATTTGTGGTTAGCGATGCAAACAATAACATGTCATTATAACCGATTATAACTAAACTACATCTTAAAACACAGTGAAAATCTAAGATAATTCACTTTCTGATAATCATAACAGTTTGCATAATTTAACCAATATAAGCCCCATACTAAAGATTAAAATGTATTCAGGGCGATCACGATCCCAACGCTTGACATATGGTAAGCTTAAGCCTAGGCATGCAATTTCAAATTAATACGGCGTTGGAACTTGTTACAAAAAACTACTAATTTACAATGAACCGGGCATAAATAAATCCCATGCTACATAGCATTGGTTCTTAAACAGTTACTAAATAAAATGAACGATATATCAACATACGTCTATCTGCGATTATGCCTTTGGAATGAATTTAGGTTGACGAAAGAATTGGTTGATGACTGTCCATTTTCGGCAAAACAACACAGTGATGTGACCTCGTTATGAGAGGCAACATGATACATGAATTGAACATATAAGTAAAGTATGAAACGTCTGCAGCGACATGTACTCAAGCCGTAATATTCCGGCCCCTTAAAGGCGCCACTAACAAGCCTTTACAAAAAAATAACATTAGGCTTGAGTAAACAAGTAGAGAGGTAAAAAATAACATATAAAGTCCAAGAAAAGTTCTTAACATGCATAAATGCATGAAATCATTTGCTATTTGCGACTTCCAGGGAAACAAGCTTGGTAATTGGTCGCACAAGGGTTGACGTTTGTGTTTTGACTTTGGCTGATTAAGTCCGTCGATACTGCTTGTATAGACTTCCACCACAAGTGCAAGTGGCCAGCTATTACGAGGAGTGTTCTCGTTCAGGACAATAACGACGTCACCAATCTTTATGTTTGGATGTTTGTGATGCCACTTGCGTCTCTCCTGCAATGAAGGTAAATATTCCCTTGTCCATCTACGCCAAAATAAATCATAAAAATACAATAAGCCATATACTATACTCGACGCCATCGCTTAGTTGCATGACCATCTTCTTCTGTAAATGTTGCTGGAGGTAACTGAGCACCTGCACGCAATAACAATAACAGGCTCCTTGTCAGTTGGGTCATCCGATATTTTTGTGAGAGGTCAACATCACAAAAGAGTGTTCGTAAATCTTCGTCCTTTGGAATTTGTTCGGTAGTCAACGCAGCCAGAACCTTTCTCACCGTTCTTATGCATCTTTCCCAGGCTCCTCCGTAGTGGGAGGCAGCTGGTGGATTAAAGCACACAATATGTCTTTGTAGAAGATATTGGTGGATTTGCTCCTGGTTCCAACCTTCAATTGCAGCTCGCAGCTCTTTATTTCCCTTAAAGAAATTTCCACCGTTATCGGAGCAAATCTCTGATGGCATTCCACGTCTTGCAATGAACCTTCTTATTGCGTTGATGAATGATGTTGTGTCGAGAGAGCTTCAGACTTCTTGATGGACTGCTCTGATATTTAAGCAGGTGAAGATTATGCCGTATCTTTTGACACTTGACCGACCCTGTCTCACATAGAACGGGCCGAAGCAATCTACTCCAACATTTGTAAAAGGGGGTATTGCTGACTTCACCCGATCTGCTGGTAGATCGGACATCTTTTGCTGAAGAGTAGGTGCAGTCATCTTTCTGCACTGAACACATCTGTGTATAACTGACTTCAAATTCACTCTGCCACCCATCGGCCAGAATCTTTGACGTATTGCGCCAAGGGTGTGCTCCACTCCTGAGTGACCGGTTATGAAATGAAAATATCTCAGGACGAGCACGGTCACATGGTGATTTTTTGGTAGTATAATTGGATGTTTTGCTTCGTCGCTGATTTTAGATCTTTTCAGCCTGCCTCCAACTCTGATAACTCCATCTTTTATGATAGGATCTAATTTTATGAGTGGGCTGGATTTCTTAACTGGTTGTTCATTTAACAATGAATCGACTTCGGAACAAAACGACTGATTTTGAATGTACTTGAAAATTACCATCTCAGCATACTTCCACTCTTTAACTGATATTGATCGGTTGTTTTGATAATTTCTGGATTTCAGCATACGTGGCCATCTTAATATCCAACACACGATTTTCACTAATTTCGTCCAACTTGAAAATCGATGCATCCATTGAGTGACGTTGTCATCTTCTGTAGAAACATCTACTGCCGTTACTGCCTTTACTTCAGGGTCTTCCCTTTCAATGATAAGATCAATAGGCATTTGAGGCCACTTGCCTTCATTTTCCATCAAAAAACTGGGACCACTGTACCACATATCACTCTGTATCATATCCTCAGCAGACATCCCACGTGATACCAGGTCTGCAGGATTCTGTGAAGAACTAACATGTCTCCATTGGTCTCGTTTGGTTTGGTTAAGGATTGTTGTGACCCTGTTTTCCAAGAATGTCTTAAATCTTGTGTGTTCGTTATTCACGTATCTAAGAACACAGGTGCTGTCAGTCCAACAAATTGTTCTGTTAATTTAGATTTCATGGAGTTCTTCTCGAATTATTCAATCAAGGCGAGTTGTTAGAACAGCCGCCTGAAGCTCCAATAGTGGGATGGTTTGCGTTTTGATTGGAGCAAGTCTTGACTTAGCGGTTACAAGCATGCAGCACGCATTCCCACAGTCGTCCCTTTGGTAGAGATAAGATGCGGCTCCATAGGCAGCTGATGAAGCATCTCCAAAGTGATGCAGCTCGCGATAAACTATTATGCCGAACTCTGATGGTTTATAGCAGCGTCGAACACGTAACTGCTCCAGATACTGAAGTTCAGACAACCAGTGAAGCCATCGTATTTCGATTTCAGACGGAATTTGTTCGTCCCATTTACATCCAATCAGACAAAGCTCTCTGAGTATCAGTTTTGCTTTCAGTATGAAGGGCGTTACCAATCCTAGCGGGTCGTAGACTGATGCAACCACAGAAAGAATTTCCCTTCGTGTGCTGGGCTTCTTCTTTTGAGAGATAATATAACCAATAGTATCTTCATTAGTAAACCAATGAACGCCGAGTGTTCTTTGCTGATTTCCACCACACAATGAAGTCAGTAAGCATACTAACAAATCTTGTAGAATTTGAACTCCACTTTGTAAGATTGAAGCCTCCTCGGGACAGCAAAAGTTTCAAATTTTTGGCGATATTAATAGCTTCATCCTCCTCGTCTACAGACTTCAGACAGTCATCCACATAGAAGTTATGGTTAACGGTGTTTGTTACAATAAGATCAAAATCGTTGGTGTGGTCTTTGGCTACATTCCGCAGCGCAAAATTAGCGCAGCTAGGTGATGATTTTCCGCCAAAGAGATGTACAAGCATTTGGTATTCCTTCGGTTGTGCACTTAGTTTACCATTTTCCTACCACAAGTAGGATAAGTAGTTACTATCATCTTCTGCCACTCGCACTTGATAAAACATCTTTTCGATGTCAGCTGAAAAGGCGATAGGTCCCAAACGAAAGCGCAGCAGAACACCAACTAAGGTGTTCGTAAGATCTGGTCCCTGTAAGAGCTTGTCGTTAAGGCACGCACCTTGATATTTAGCAGAACAGTCAAAAACAATTCTGACTTTCCTTGGCTTCTGGGGGATAATTACAGGATGATGAGGTAAATACCATCTAGATTGTTGATTGTTTGTTTCCTCAACCTTTCTGGCATAGCCCTTGTCAAGTAAATCTTGCATGAAGTCAGTGTATTTCTGGTGAAGTTTACTATCCTTTTCAAGTCTGGATTTCAGGTAGCTTAGTCTTTTGAATGCCATAGTTTTGTTGTTTGGAAGTGTCTCAGGTGGGCTTTTCCATGGCATTGACACATGGTAGTGACCATCTGTCGAGTGTATCGAGCTTTGCATTATCTGTAAAGCTTGGATATCGCTCCGAGACATGGCTGTTTTTTCACTAGGTAGATCACTAAACTCGATATTGCAGAACTGTCTGAACTGTTCTTCCAGGGATGAATCCGGGTGAACGATAATGTCAGCCTTAGAGATAAAGTTGCATACGTTGCATTGTTTACCTTTTGCTTAGTGGACCATTCACCACCCATCCTAAGGCAGTGCGAGTTGCATATGGACCACCGTTGAGAGATGGTTTGACTTCAAGAGGTTGATGTAGTTCTGGGATATCTCCTCCAATCAGAAGTTCTACCTCAGCATCGATGCTAGATATTTCAACACCTTGAAGATGCACCCAATTTTTTATGTCTTCTTCAGTAGCGATTGCATTCTTTGAAACTGGTAGGCTTGGTTTGGTATAAAAATTAGATGCTATGAAAACTTCTTCTTCATTTAAATTGGATATCTGTAGAGAAACTAATTTACATGCTGATGTTGATTGCCCATTCATGGTAGTCAGGTTCAGGTCAACTGGTTTCCCTTTTGCGCCTAGTCTGTTGGCAAGAGCATCAGTACAAAAGGTAGTTGTTGAGCCATTATCCAAAAATGCGTAGGTGTTGATTGTCTTCCCGCCGTCTGTACACTTAACCCTCACTGGCACAACAGCCAACCCAACCCTTACACCCTTCCCCTCGACTGCCATGGATGTGGGTGTAAATTGAGTTGGTCGATTTGAAGCATTTGAGTTAGGTGGCGATGACCCTGAGTTACTTATGGGTTGAGCATTAACGCTGGTTTCACTTTGACTTCATCGTGTTCCAGTGTGTAAGAAACTTGAATGCTTTATATTACATAATTTACAGAAACTGTTTCTGGGACATGATGATACAAAGTGTCCATGTGTAAGGCAGTTCCTACAGAGCAAGCTTCTGTCTCTCTTCAACAGACTTGGCTCTAAATTCCTTACACTGTGACAGCCAGTGTGAACCGTTGCACAATGGACACCTTGGGCCATTCTTTGATGCTGACGTTGAAGCGTTGAATGATTTTCTTAGTTCTATGGTATTAGCTATCATTGAGAAACTTGGATCATTTCTCATCTTAGCCTCTGAGCGAATAAATTCGCAAAATAATTTGAATGGCGGAAACGCAACACAGTGCGTTGTTTTATAAGTGGTTCCTTTCTTGATCCAACTTTCCTTCAGGTTGTGTGGCAGTTTCTGGATGATTTGGCTAAGACCATGTGATGAATCTAAGCTCGCCAGCCCTGGATACTTCCCAGTATCCTTGACGTGGAGCACTTCCAGTAAAAGGTGGCTGAGTTGTCGTAATTTGTCTGTTTCTTTGAGATTAAACTTTGGAAAATCTTGTAAACGCTTGGTTAGGCCCTTTTCCACTGCCTCTGGTGCACAATATGTTTCGTCGAGCAGGTTCCATACATGTCGTAGAGCTTCGCATGGATCCTCAATGTAGACTGCATGCAGCGGAGCAACAAGTTGTCTTGATTTTTCTCCGAGCCACTTCATGATTTGTTGGAACATTCAGCTCTTTGATAGTATTAGAGAGTGTGATTTTCCAAGCTCGGTAAGATGCTACAGTGTCATCAAATTGTCGAAGACTTGAGCTTAGTAGTTCTTTGCGAAACAGGAAATTTCCTATTTCAGTCATTACAGTTGAGGTTTGAGGTGGTTGAACCATGTGACTGCAGAATCAATTGTCTTTGATGGGGTTTTCTTGTGGTTCTGGTTCCTTCTTGACACCTACAGTTGGGTTCTCCAGATTCACTGCAACGTTAAATGGCATTTGTACGTCATCTCTAAATGATGGTGGAGGCAAGATGAGTTCATGTTTAGGATTTGATGCTGATTGACGAACGGTGGGGGTAGAATCTCATCGTTTTCAAGAACCGGTACATGATTGGGGGATGGTGGCGGTACAAATGCCTCGTTTAATGTAATCTGGTCATTAACAGAGTCATTGTCAGTCAGGAAATCACTGAAGACATCGCTTACATTACCCACGCTCAAAGTGTCGAAGTCAGAATTTATTTCTACGTTTAGAGACGATCCTAGCAATGAGTCTGCTCTGGCTTGACAAACTGCAGCATGTTCCTCAGCGTCCAACACTCTAACATCTGCTTCAGCTATTGCCTGCATTCTCAGCAAGCCTGCTCTCTTCTTTGCAAACTCAGATCTTGCTTTGGCTATGGCCATATCTGCCCTCGCCTAAGCATGGCTAATAGTGACTTTACTTCTTCTGCTACTCACAGACGACCCTACTTCAGACATTTCGTGCAAGTTTCCACTCACAAAGACTTAAAACTTAAAATGTGACCTCCAAGTCACAAATTATACAGCAAGGCACATTAACAGAAACTCACAACGCGTAAACACCGACTTGTGTCAAACGGTTTTAACTGAAATTTAATAACAAAAAAGACCCAGAATTAACATTTGGAATATCCAATTATTCCAACAACATATATATGTAATTGAATGACCTATATTACTCACTCCTAATAAAACATTGGCATATAACACAAATCCACATAAAAACAAGTTATTCATGTACCCTTCAACAGTTTTGGCTATTATAGTTATCAACAGTGTTCTGAGACTGCGCACTTACGGTGCTTACTCAAGCAGAACGGGCATGTTCAGACATAACATGAAGCATGGTCTCATCATTTGTGGTTAGCGATGCAAACAATAACATGTCATTATAACCGATTATAACTAAACTACATCTTAAAACACAGTGAAAATCTAAGATAATTCACTTTCTGATAATCATAACAGTGGGCATAATTTAACCAATATAAACCCCATACTAAAGATTAAAATGTATTCAGGGCGCTTGACATATGGTAAGCTTAAGCCTAGGCATGCAATTTCAAATTAATACGGCGTTGGAACTTGTTACAAAAAACTACTAATTTACAATGAACCGGGCATAAATAAATCCCATGCTACATAGCATTGGTTCTTAAACAGTTACTAAATAAAATGAACGATATATCAACATACGTCTATCTGCGATTATGCCTTTGGAATGAATTTAGGTTGACGAAAGAATTGGTTGATGACTGTCCATTTTCGGTAAAACAACACAGTGATGTGACCTCGTTATGAGAGGCAACATGATACATGAATTTAACATATAAGTAAAGTATGAAACGTCTGCAGCGACATGTACTCAAGCCGTAATATCATCCACATTCCACGACGAATAAACTGGCATTTTAGTAATGCTGTAGTAGTAGTAGTAGGTCCTAGATAGTTCCATGATGGACCTAATAAATAACATGTAAATTAATGTACTTTATTTAAAATAGTGTTGTTTGCTTGTCTAATGTTTGAAATATTATTATTATATAGTTTGTAGGCCTAGACCTGAATTAGGGGCCTAGGCCGCGCCAGGCAGTAGAGTAGTATTCTGTATTCTCTACATACACAGTACTGCACTAAAT